TTGCCAGTGAACTTCTGGGCTGTATCTAGAAGTATAATGGTTTTGCACCAAGTCATTCACACTTTGTTTCTTATGAGCGTCATCACACAGAAACCTTTTCCATTATTAAGCATGTGAAGGAAATTTTAGTATTTCCAACGTTTTCTAAGCATGAAATATAATACTCATGGAGGAATCTATACAAATATAAGCAATTCAATCACATGTCTAGCCATTTGTTGGGTCAACAGAACCTAAGTTCTTGGTGGTCAGATCCATTGGCTTCTTTCTGAAAGTAACTTATTTTCTGATTTCTGACACCATATTCCAATTTTCCTATTGTAAACTTTATAAAAGGGAAATATATATATATATCTTATATAAATAATGTCTTTTTCTGAATATTTTGTGAATCCTCTCTCTCATTGTACATAACTGCAACCCATTCATTTTCACCACTTTATGGTTTTATATTTCATAAAAGAATTTTTAGGAGACTGTAGGAGTGAACCCCACAGTTATCCACCCATGAGGGCGGTGACAACTAAATTAGCACAGGTAGAGATAAAAGGAAGTGAAAGGAAAAAGGACCTCCTCTTTTGGGAGCCGGCCACGCTACTGACTCCCAGCTTGTGTGATTCTCTCTCTCTGGTAAATAAATATATTGTATTTCCTATAGCATTGACTATCATCATTAGGAGACTACTATAGTTTATTTATAGTTATACTATATTTAATGGATATGGACTTTTTTCAAGTTGCGTTTCAGTGGTGGAATATAAATTTTTCTCGGAAATAAAAAGTATTCAATACTGTCAGTCTTCATTTGAACAGTAAAACGTTGGTATTAAAGTGTATAGTGAGATAACAAGAAGACTGTATAGGGAGGAGTGAATGGGGGAGCTTCTTCCTGTTACATATGATTGTGGGGGGGGAATCCATCACATTATTTTCATTAAAGTGTGTTTAATACTTAAGTTTAGCAAGAATAATGGTCGATTAAGATTCAACTAAAACCTGTGAAAATTTAAAATTCATTTGAAAAGTTGGTAAAGTATATCAAAAATACTAAAAGGAATAAAGTTGAAGTATATGCAGACTTTATGTAGCTACATAAACATGAGGAAAACCTGAACAAGTCCTTCCATATTATGAAAATTTTTGAGTGATCTTTAGAAGTCTCTGAAAGATAAAATTACCTTTAAGAAATTTTTAAATAAATTTATATCTGAGAACGGCGGCACATGCCTGTAATGCCAACAGTTGGTAGAAGAATGTAGAAAAATCATGAATCTAGTGTCAGCCTGAGCTTTATTGGGACAGTGTCTTAAAAAATCAGTTAATTGGTAATAAATAGACTTATAGGTAATTTATTGACATACTATCAAATTTACCAAACACCTAGAGTAATTCAAGTCATGTACCTGCACAGTAAAGCTTTAAATATTTTTGGACACAAAAATAAGTATCTACCTATATCAGTGTATTCAGTGTTACATATGGTGAGTTTTCATTTGTCCCAAATTGGGCTAAAGTTTAATTTTTATACTTAAAAAATCTTATTCTATTTGTATTCCTACTATTGCTTTAAAAACTTTTTTGATTTTCTTTTTTATGAATTTTTAATTACAATAAAATTGCATCATTTCACTGATCCTCTTTCCAAGTTTCTCCACCCCCTCTCAAATTCATGGCTTCTAAGTCTCCCTATTAAATTGCCTCTAGCTGGTGTTTTAAAATAGCTGTTGTCCCTGGAAATCATGTGACAGGTGAAACTGAACAAATACCTGAATTTTGTCCATATAATACGTCAATTTTCTGTAAAAGATGTAAAGAATAGGTTACTCTACCACTGAGCCTAAATCTATGTAAGGAATGCTTATAATTATATTTTACACATAGAAAATGATCATTCACTAGCTTTGTGTGTCCATAGGTTGTATTCAAATTATATAATTTATCTTTTTATTTAATTAAAACATTTTTTCATTTTACATTCCAACCCCAATTCCCTCTCCCCCTCCTTCTCCTGCCTCCCCACTTCCTCCCATCCACTCCTCAGAGGGGGTAAGTTCTCCCTTGGGGAGTCAACAAGGTCTAGGATACCAAGTTGAGGCGAGACCAAACCCGTCACCCCAGAATCAGGCTGGGCAAGGCATCCCACTATAGGGGATGGGCTCTAAGAAGTCAGTGCATGCACCTGGGGTAGGTCCTCACCCCACTGCCAGGTCCCCCACAAAACAGAACAAGCCACACAACCAGCACCCACATTCAGAGGGCCTGCTTCGGTCCCATGCAGGGTCCCCAGGTGTCAGTCTAGAGTCCATGAGCTATCTTAAGTCGCTGTCTCTGTGGTTTCCCCATCATGGTCTTGACCCCACTTACAATTTATCTTAATAACTTCATGAGAATTATCTTTATTGAATGGAATTGCTCGCCCACAGCATGATTGGCGTGAGAGACTTCTAACATCTGGATTTCCCTTGTCTTTGTGTAACTCCTTGCTCTCTACTTGCTTAGAATTCTTTTTTATCTCTTAGTAATTCTGATTAGTCTCAATAGTCAACGTCTCTGCTACTTCTTATTGGCCAAGCTAAATACATAACATAACTTTACCGTGTATTCTTGTTTGCTCCAAATTTATTAAAAATGACTGTTTACTTAGTATTATTCCATTACTTAGTTATTAGATTACTAGTAACAACCCATATTCATAAATATTTATCAAGCGGATGCCCCAGTCAGATGGCTTTAGTGTCCATAATTCTGAGTGATTGAATCAACACATTCTTCTTGAAAACATCCTCGATGTTGGGTCCCTGCATTCAGGTTTTTAATTTTAGGAAAACAGCCTGTAAATACTGCTTGGTTTCTCGCCAGTGGAGAGACTACTGCCTGTTGCCATCTCCACAGCCTACTTGATGAAAAATAAAGAGCCCACATTGAGAACTCTCTGAATCCAGCCCTGGCTGTGTGTACACACTCAAAATGAAACAAATTGGAGCAATTTACTGAAGGTTAAACCCTCAAATGACAGCCACCTAAAACATGCAGGGAAATGGTTTGAGAGGCTTAAATGATCAATTTAATTTCCTTAATTCTCTGTTGCTTTACAAGGAGGCACAGCTTTATCCGTCTTGCTGAAAACTCTAAATTGTGGGTTTAGATGTGTTTGTGTTTTCATACTCAACACTCTGAACCACATATACTTTCTATATTACCCAGGACTTAAAAACAAGCCCACAGACCTCAATACACTCCAGTTGCAAAATTGGAGTATTTGCATTTGTGATCTGTCTCTAGTTTTCTCTCCAATATCCAACACCATTCAGTTTGTCAGCATGTTTTTTTTATCTGAAGTCACAAGGAAGGTTTTGGAAAGAACTAGCTGTGCCAATCTTGCGCGTAAGTTCTAACATGAAGTGGTGTGTCAAAAATATTTTATTGCTATTAAAAATTATGTCTCTCTAGGTCCTGAGAAAGACGTGAATGGGAGGAACATTTTTGTGTAAGCAAAGTGGCTCACCCAACCCTGTCTACTCCTTCAGAGAGCATTTTCCAAGAACCCTGCAGCTCTTGGCTCAGTCTTGCCTCTGAGATGAGAGGGCATTACCAGGATGACATATTCCTGAAGACACATTCTGAAGTACCGATTTTTTAAAAACTTAAGTGTTTAAGCTTTCACAACCGTTTGCTGACACTTGGGTCCAGCGGTGTTTTTCCTCTTCCTGAACTGTGCTGCATACAGCGCTTTTGATGTCTTAGAGCTTTTTCTTTGGCAGCTAAGAAAAACACTCTACAAAGTTATATTTAGTGAATTTACTCATGTATAAATACCCCCGAGCTACTCTGTTATCCTGTGGCATCTGGAAGAAAGGTGCTATTGTTTTGGATCCCATGACTGAAGCATGGAATAATCAACTCTGAGAGACCCTAGGGATGAGATTCACTCACATATGCTGTGGAAATGTATAATCCCTTAGCTTTTTTAAGTTTCCCTCCAGATGAAGAAACTTGGATGAGTTTGTGCTCGGGCCCATCTGCTGACAGCAGTTCCTGGTCATGCCACTGGTGGTGTTTAACCACCACTTCTTATTGGAGGTTGTTAACTTGAAGTTTTCTAGGAAAACAGCTATTTTGGGGTTCATTGTCTCACAACTATCGTTAGTTTGCTTTCCGTGTCCTGAAAACTAGATGTTTATTTTTCCTTGCAAGTTCCCTACTCTGCAGTATACTCCTCACCATGTGTCTAGGATCTGTCACCAGACTTGGTTCTGACAGAGATACTCCATAAATTATCAGAAGCTCGGCTGCATTTCTTGCAATGTTTGTGAATTCTTCCATGAAAAATCAGTGTAATTCCAGAAGATCATGATAGATTTGCGAGGAAGGGATGTATCCCGTTCTTGAGGCTGACATGGGTGTGGTTTTGAATAAAGTCAATGTTAAGTGGATCTGTGCTGTTCTTTTTCCTCTGGCTTCTTAAAGACAGTTCTTGTTTGTTTGTTTGTTTGTTTGTTTGTTTGTTTGTTTTGGTGCTACTTTATTCAAAGAATAAGAACAGATGCCTCATGACTTTCCACCAGGAAGTATTTAATGTTTAAGATGATTACATTTAAAAGCATTGGCGAAACACAGATAATAGACTGTCCACTCTGTATCGTGGAACTTCCCTGAGAGTTTTGTACCTACTGCAGCTGCAGATAGCTTCATGATGGTATTCTGTTTGTGAGGAACCTACAGAAAATCCCACAAATAACTCTGATTTTAAATGGCTAACACAGAGATGTGCACCTGCTTCAGGGACTTCATGCATCAATCGTGTGACCAATAGAAAAGCTCCTTGGAATTTAATTATATGGACACAAAGTATAACTGACTGCACTTGGGGACCTGATGTCTACAAAATGTTAATCAGTTTTTGGAGCAGGCCTCTGAGGTCGAGACTGCTCACTTTGCTTCTGTGCTGGTCACTGTGAAATCCTCATGTTCTAACCATGTTCTCTCTCCTGTTCTTGCAGCTGGGGCCTCTTGAGGAAGATGTCCTCCACCAGACCCTGAATACAAATGCTGCCGCTTCTTTACAGAGGGTCACCGAAATCCAAAGTAGGTCTTCAGTTTCCTTTTCGTCTTTTGCTAGGTCAGGTTCCTTGGAATCCTGTTGAGAATTAAAGCACAAAGAAACAGAGTTATTTTAATTTGCTTTTATTGAAATGTCTTGCTTTCCTGTCTGATGATCTTATCTTACACTGCTGTCGTAACTCAGAATCTAGACTTGGGATCATTTTTGTCTCCTACTTCCTATACAATTAAGATCATCTCAAACACCAAGCGCTGACATAGAACAGCTAACTAAATTTAGAAACTACAACAGTGTAAACTGTGTAGTGATTCTAACTAAGGGGAGTCATCTCCTAAATGTGTTGGATTTGGCAGTCATGTTCTGGCTTTAAGTTTGGCGAGGAAGGAAAATTACGAAGAAGTCTAACTTTGGCAAGCATGGTAAGGTGGTCTTTTTATTAGGCAGTTACCTTTACAGACATCAACCTCCCACACTAAAGATTAACATGAAGGTTAGCACAAAGGCAAATGGCAAATGGCAAATGTAGGCTCTAAGGATAGTCAAAAAAAAAAACCATCAGCTTTGCAGATTTTCTATAGAAGCATGTTTTCCATCTGACTGAAAAACCTTCAGCATATCTTAGAGTCCATCTTCTCTTGCACAACAGTGACCAAGAGATGAGGGTGTGAGGTGTGAGTGGTGTTGTATTACCATTCTTTCGGGACCAATAATGTCATACACAAATGCAAGGTAAGCCTCCTCCTTCTGTGTTACAAGTGCCTGGAATGTGGGCTATAAGCATTCACGGAGCCTTGTTGACTACCTACTACAGGAGTAAGTGATGAATGTCACAGAGTTTCAGAAAATGGAAAAATAAGAATCAAATGCCATAGAGAAAATTACTGGGATAAAGCTAAGGCACAAGTTTGACTGCCTCCAAAGACAAGCTTGGAGATGCTTGTTCACGTCCGACTCTCGTTTTGAGAGGAGATAAGGAGGGTCATGTGAATGCCACCCTGGGTCCCTCGGAGGGACTCTTTGGGTGATCTCTGGCAGGCCTCTCCTGTTCATCCCATCTTATCCAAAATCCCTGCACAGGGTATTGAGAGTAGAGAGAGAGCTCAGTCTTGGGGTGCGTCGTTTTCTTTTCCAAGGATTCTTTTGCCACTGCACACATAGAGTGTTCACAGAAAATACCTCTGGTGTATCTCAGAGGACAACAGCAACACTACAACGGGTGTTTAAGGATGGCTTTGTTATGTGAAGTCACAAAGGTTGGGAAAAAGGAGTGGGGAGGGAGACAAGGGAAACAAAGAAGAGGAGAAGTCGCAGAGTTTCTGGCTCCGCAGATTTTGTGCTACGGTTGGTGAAGCAGTGTAAAATGTCTAACTCCAGCTCAGTGTTCTCTAGAGGTGCAGAGGCCATGACAAAGGGGCAGCTCATTTCTTCAGCAAGGAAGAGGCTTGCAGTATGCAAGCTGAGACAAAGGAGGAGGCAGATCTGAGGAGGTGGTTCTCGAACCAGTCTTCGGTGCCAGCGAAGAGCTCATGGTCTGTCCTCTGACGTATTCAGTGTAGTTTCGTTCATGAGTTTTTACCACCAAATAACATACAACTCAACGAGGATTAATGTATCCCTAGCTTCAAGGGAGCTGTTCTTAGTCTTAGACCAAGCTAGGGAACCTGTCTCATAGTTATTACTTAAAGAAAGGGTGTGTAGTCCTTTTTCTCTCTCTTCAACAGGACTCCCACAGTTTTCCAGGGGACTCAAGGCCTGGGGAACCCACAGAGACAGTTAACCTGATCTCCAAAGAGCTTATAGACTTTGGACTGACAGTTAGAAAGCCTGCATGGGACCAACCTAGGCCCTTTGCATGCGTGTGACAGTTGTGAAGCTTGGTCTGTCTGTGGGGCTTGGAGCAGTGTGATCAGGACCTGTCCCTGGGACTTGAGTTGGCATCTGAGAGCCCAATCTCCAACCTGAGTTATCTTGCCAAACCTCGACACAGGGGAGAAGCTTGGTCCTGCTTTAACTTGGTTTGCCATGGAGACTGGAAGGAGCCAGTGGGGGCAGAAGGGAGGTGAGGGAGAGAATGGAAGGAAAGGAGGGAGGAGAGATTATGGTCCGTATGGAAAATAAATGGGAAAAAAATGAGCAAGGGTGTATGTCACAATCCAGCCAGAAAGAATTGGGCTCCATGGCCCTTTGGCCTGTGGTCATTCCACTCTTGGAATGCCCATGTTTGGTCCTTCTACACAGTGGCCCTGATACTGCTGCATTTCCATCGACTCTAAGTGTGTGTGTTCTTTAGGCTGCTCTTTCAAACAAAATGGATGAGAAGAAAATAAGGAGAGCCCATGAAACAGGAAAGTAAAGCTAATATTTTAGGGTCTGAAACTTCATATTGATTAGGGAAATTGAAACAGTGAGCTTCGAGTTCAATACACAATACTCCGTTTCTCACAAAATACGGCTGTATTCTTTCCTTTATTTCTCCCTGGTCCAAATCACACTTTTTCACACTAAGTGCCCTGGTGTACCCTGGACCCTTGACCACTCTATCTATCTCTGGTTCTGTATGGAAAAGGGTCAAGCCTGGCTACATATCTTCAGGTTTTTTAAAAAAATGACCCCTTCTTTGTTAAAACGCTGCTAACGTTGCTAAGAATGTTGAGTCCAGTCGAAAAGAGGTGGGAACAGGAGTCCTTCTGATCCGGTAGACCTCACACCTAGGAAATGAATCTAAAAGCAGCCTGTCTTTAAGGAGCAAGCATGCTGTCCTGCATACCTGTCTTTGAGCCCTACAGGGGTCCTCCCTTCAGCTCAAGGAGGTGTTTGAGTTTTAGCCTCGCTTCTAGCCCAGGTTCTGAAGGACTCTTCTGTGCTGCAGTTTGAAGCTATATAAACGTTAGGAAGCAGGCCTTACCATGTGGGAAACATTCAGGCAAGTTCCTAGAGAGTTCTGTCCCAAGACACACGGAAAGGTGCTGACAGGCCTTCTGTGTATTTCTTTTTGAGAACTGAGCCCCCCAGCTGAGGGTACGCAGGTGCTAGACGCTGTGATTAGCATTGGCCCACTGCCTGGGTGCGTGCCTTTTTGTATTCTGCAGCGGGATCATCCCTGTGGTCCTATTCTGGTTTAGGTTTCTCCTTCAGCTCAAGAGCAACCGTCTTCGTAAACAAGTGGGAGTGTACGGCTAACGACGTATACTCTAAGGTTTTGTTTTTTCCTTTAAAAGTTGAAAGTAAAATTACCATAGATATTATTTCAGTCACCTCACTACTGGATATCATCAAAAGTAATTTGTGAAAAGATGCAAAAATATAAGTATTTACATGTTCATCACAGCACTATTCAGAATAATTGAGAGACAGGAGCAAAGCCTGAGCTTTGTCTATCGGTGGAAGAACAGATAAAGAAAGGTGATGTGTAGGGGCGAAGGAAGAATATTCAGTCTTCAAGAGGAAGGCCCACAACATACGCTCACTTTGCTTTATGTTCTTCACGGAACACGCTATTTCAATGGTATTTTCGCTTGTTTTCTCCTAATTGTTGAAACTTTTGTGTAGTAACTGGCATGAATGGGTGCTTCGCAAATAGATTAGTAATTACATGTCCCATTTCTTTTTTATTTAGTAAATTGCTTTTTTTAAGGTAGCTTAGCATAATTATACCTGCCAAGCACCCTTGCTACAGAGGAATTGAGAAGAACCAACAAAACACACAGAGCACATGTCTTCCTGCTCCACACCCACCAGGATGAGTCAGTCCTTCTGGGAAGACACAGACTACTTTTTCGTGCTATCATTTCCCCAACTAATCTTGGAGGACACGGATTTCAGATCTGAGCCTGGGACTTGATTGCACAGAAGTAATCACCAGAAAATAGGGCCAGGAAAAGTCAGCCCAGAGCAGGATACAGGGCCCTCATATGTGTGCATTCTTTCCTAAAACCCGAGCTCAAGCTTAGAGTACCTATACGACCCCGAAGTCCCCCACCCCTTTGTATGGCATGGTAAGAAGCGGGGTCTTCTAACCATTTTTCATACACCAGTGCTGGCCCATGGTAACAGCTGCACCGAGACTACCGTGGAAGAAGGATGAACTTTTTCCATTAATTGATTCATTCAAGAGTAAAATTTTAAGTCCTAAAAACATGTAACAAATGATACCAATTTTCATGTATGAAACCCCAAAACATAAGAAGTTTGAGTATAAAGGCATGATTTTCCTTCATTTAATTTTGTAGTAAAAATACCCTTTACAAATGACAATCAGCTTTGTAGACCTCCTATGTGATAATCACAGTATCTTTGATTTTAGTGTCAAGAAAGTATATGTGTGCCCAAGGATTTGAGGATTCTTTTTCAAAATTGCTGCAACCATCTAGTGGTTTGGAGCTGACAATTTGAAAAACACTAAGTAGAGAGCTTTAAAATGATATAGAGCCCTCTGTGATCCTCTCTTGTGCTCACCAGCCACATGACCGTTGAGCAAACCACGACAAAATGACCTCAGTCTTCAGAATGAACCTGGAAGCCAACATCACCACACTGCCTTCTAAATTGGTGCAACTGGCAGGCAGGGGTGGAGTGGGGCAGAGGCTAAGAAATAAAACACACAAGAAATGTGGAAACTTATCCCCAGAACTGCATTTGTATCTTTTCTCCACTATAAGGCTTCTCTTTTGTTGTGTAATCTGAATTTTGTTAGAAGTATTTATTTTGCCAACTATGACAAATGATGACCCAAATTCAAAATGAGGAAGGAACAGGCTCCAGCTTCGTCACATGATCTTGTCAAAAGCATCACACGGAAAGAAGATAAATTCCATTTCTCCTACATGCAAAACTTGTTGCTTTGATCTGAATGACAACGGCCCCCAGAGGCTCATGTATTTGAATGCTTGGTATCCAGTTAGGGGAAATGTTTAGGAAGGGTTAGGAGGTGTGGCCTTGTTGGAAGAGGTTTGCCACTTGGGGAAGGTTATAAAATTTCAAAAACCCATGCCATCCCCAGGTAGCTCGTTCTCTCTGCCTGGTT